GAATCCTATTGGATGTAATGATACATATATATGTACTAGCGTTTACTCGTGTAAGGCGCGAAAAATATTTGTCCAATATTAAAGTAATGTTTTTTTTGTGGAGAACTAGTACATGTGTAATTGTTATGAGATCTTCCCTCAAATTATGTGTCCATGGTTATAGCCAAATTCCTCAAAAAAAATCAAATAGGAAAGGATTTATTAATAAGAGAGAAGTCAGGGTTTTTTTTCTTTCAAAAGAAGAGAAGTTAAAGTACAATCACAATAGTGAATTCAGCCACATGGGAGTGAACCCCGACAGGCCAGGCAACAACAATGAGAAACAAGAGCTAATCAAGTCAATAATTAATGAAAAGAAAAGTAGTGCAAAAGAAAATAAGATTTAGAGCTAGTTAATAAAATAAGATTTAGAGCTGGTTACATTGAAAATCCTCAAGCTTTAGAAACCACCGAGCGTTGGAAGAACAACCCACATCGCTTTTATAAGATCCTTGATAAACTCCCAAAAGCATCCTAAGCCCGTGTAAATTGTTGCCGAGATTGCACTGTCCTATCTGAGGGACAATACACTTTTTGTCCCTTCTGGAGACAATAGAGGTGAAAGCATCATCTTCCTAGAGTTGAGCTTCAATAAGTGCATCCTTGTAAATAGGATATTGCTTGTAGATGGGGTAATCTTTAAGTAGCTTGTATTTTAGAATCTGATGAGGTCCTGAGTCACGCATAAGATGTTAAATTTTTTTGCGTGTGAGGTCGGCGGTACCCGGAGCCACTCCCTCTAGAATCCAGTAATGGAGCTAAATTCTTCAAATTAAGAGCCCATTTGGTGACATTTTTTTTCTCATAAAACATGTGATTTTTCCTCAAATTAGCTAATAATCAAAATAAGTAACGCTTGAGTTATTTTTTTGTTGAATTAGCTGAAGTTACTGTACAATGCCATTTATATATTTTTCATATAATTTTTTCCTTTATCTTAGTAATAAAGTCTATCTTAGTTTTTTTTTCATAAATTAGAAGAATCAGCCATTTCAACTAGAACTTCATATATTTTAGCAAAATCAGTTGATTCGGCCAATTTCAGTATTACCAAACAGGTTTTGAATTTCAAATGCAACCTGCCATTAAAAGTAAAGAGAAAAATGTTTTTTGCTTGAATTGATGACAATCTATGGACTTGGAGAATTTATAAGCAAATAGAGCAAAACTTTTAGGCTTTTTACTGTTGCGCTATTGCCGTTTCTTCAATCACTCAGATTTGAAGGAGTGCCGACTATAATAGTACGGAGTAACATGTTACTTAAAGTTCTTCCATTTAATTGAATCACTTAATGGAAGGATGAAGCTTTAACAATGTGTAAGGTTATAAAAGTACATGTGATAAGTGAGGTCCAACTTTTTAACAACAATGTACAATTCATTGTGCATACCTTATGTTGACATAAATAAGGAGTACCAACCCTCATTCTCAAATGTAAGGTTTTTAGATTTCATGAACTTGAAACCACAAACTTCCCTATTTACTTTGGTGTACACCTAGCTAGGATGATATGTTGAATGTTACTAGTTGGTAAAACGAGTGCAACAGAATTGACATCAAACTGGCATCAAATTTTAGCCGCATGCTCAATGAGGCATTATTTGCTCAACGAGTCATAAAACGGTGCTCTGAAGTTTATAAATGAAAATCTATTGGTTTATAAAATCTGGCAGCCAAAAAAGGGTACATTTAAGTTTATATTTAGAGAAGCCATACAATTGGAACTGAAAACATAAAACCAACTATATAGTATGACAAAAATGAATATGAGACAAGTGAAAAGTGGTGCTCTAAACATAAAACCAGCAAAAACAAAGAGTTTAGATAGCTACTTTGTAGAATCTTGTCCCAATTTGTACAAATATATATTGTATAGCTATTTGTTTTTTTTACCATACTTATTAGAGTAGTCCTATTTGGCTAATTCTTGTGATCGAACTGCACCAACTAAAATGTCTAACAATTGCTTTTTGTATAACCGCTATACAACAAAAACATGATGAGACTTGTTTCTAAATAGACATGACAACCATTTGTGTTCCTTGTTGAGTGATTACCACAAAGACATCTTGACAATTACAACAAAACACAAGCCCAAACAAAGGATCTCAAAATAACGATGAGACTTGTTTCTAAATATACACCATTATCCTTCCATCATACTAATTTACAATTGATACATACATAGACATCCACTGGAGCCATTACAAAGAAAGAACAAAATATCTGGTAACCATGAAGTGAATTGACGGATCTACAAAATGTTTGTTATAGACGTTCTTAGATTTCATAAAATAGATCTCATCATACAAATATGCATGAATATGACATTTTAAAATGTCTGGTGTAATGCTCATTTTAAAATGAACATTACACCAATTAAAATGATCATTACACCAATATCAAATAAACATACATAACTCACAAAATGAGCATCAAAAAAATTAAAAAACTCATCTAAAATCTCAAGTATGCTCAAATATCAATTTGTATTTGGTCATATCAGTATAACATAAAGAAGCACCAATTCCTTATTTTAGACCAACCAATTTATTGTGTCTTTGTTAAAATATATTAATGTACGTCTAATTTAAATAATATACTCATGATTATTTAGAAGGTTGGACTTTTTAATGGAAGAGTGAGAGAAGTGTATGTCTTTATTGAATTGTCATTCGATGTGGATTTTTGAAAGATTTGAGTGGAATTTCTTCTTGTAGATATTTACATAAAAATAAAAAGAGGAGTTCAAAATTAAAGGAGCAAAAGACAAAAGGTATATGTAAAAAGAAAAACGAAATACGGGAGCAAAACGAAAAGAGAGTTTATACTTCGAAACATTAAAGTTCAAAGTTAAATGAATAGAAAAAAAGAAAAATGGAAGCAAAAAAAAGTTAAAGATAGAACAATTAAAGTTGAAAATAAAAGAAAAGAAAACAAGAAAAATAGAAGCAAAAATCGAAACAGAAAAGATGAGAAGCATATACGAAGTATACTACAAACACATGTGTAGCACGTCACATGGTACAATCGGATGTACTCCGTATGATATCTTTTGTTTCATCCAAAAGGTCAACTTGTTGAACACATAGATGAATCCTAAAACGTAATGAAAGACACACAATAAGTATTTAATTATGAAAGGATAATTTTGTACTTTTACCATCTACTTCTAAAAGAATCACATTTTTAATAAAAACACTTTTATTGTAAAAAGTTACCACATTTTACTGCTCCTTATTAGGGGGTGTTTGGATATGATTCTTAAAACTGATTCTGCTCCTTCAGGGAGCATAAGTAGAAGTTGGAGTGTTTGGATAAAAGTGCATAAGTGATTCTGGTGTTTTAAGTTATTCAGAATCAATTTTTTTTAGAAGTTGAAGGAGAAAGCAAACGCCAATCATTTTGTCAAAAATCTAGCAAACTCTCTTGAAAGCAAAAGCAAACTCAAACATATACTACATCCGTTCTTAAATAAATGCAACATATGAAAATTTACACTATTCACATGTTCTACTTTGACTACGTTTTATTTATTAATGTATTTATATTTTTTTATGAAAAAAATATTATTAAATTTGTCTTATTGTAAATTTTCAAAATCTATTTTTTATAATTTTTTTACTGATACAAAATTATATATATTGATGCTCATATATGGGCAAGAAAGGCCTAATTTGCGCCTTGGGCTGTGTTCGGCACGAGCTTGAAGCTGATAATTGACTGGAATTTTATTAATTCAGCTGATAAATGTAGAAGTAATACTGTTCGGAGAAAGGGCTGAATGAGGCTGGAGCTAAAAATAGTGGGCTGAATTCAAACGTTACCCAACCCAACGTTTGTGTTCAGTCTGTCGCTCAACAGCCTGTATGTCTAAACTATCCCTGCGCTGGTTCATCCGTAATACCCAAAATGGAAAAATTATCTCTTCACCATGGTTTCTGGAAATATCTTCGTTACCTTCTTCTCCAATTGCTGGCTATAATTATAAGGTATGTAATTTTACGATATCAATTTTGAGAAATCTCGTGCTTCCAATTTCGACTCTGGGATTTGAGTTGAATGGAATTCTAGCCAGATTACAGAGGAAGATGGGACTCCGCAGCCTCACGAGCCACCGACCAACCGGCGTCTAACTCACCGTCACGCAACAATAAGTAGTTTCATGAACTCTAGCTCTACTTACCGCTACGAGGAAGAAGAAGAAGAGGAAAATGAACTCGGCGAAGATATGTTCCTCGAATAAAGTGATACCTTATGAAGACGATTGGGTTCATACATTCAGAGGACATTGTGACGACCTTTACACTGTGTGCTACACTAACAGGGCCGGCCCAGAGGGAGTTTATGGTGTGCGACCGCACAGGGCCCAAAAAATTGGAGGGCCAAAAATAAAATTTTTAGTAGTACTACTACTACTCTACTAATGTAATAATGTATGATGAATTGATGAAGTAATGAAATTTAACAAATTTGGTTGTTATTTAGAATTAAATGTAATTAGTTGATGAGTTAATTGGGCTATTTATATTTAATAAAGTTATAATTGCTGCAACTATGTTTTAAGAACATCTGTTTGTCGATCAATATTTATGCCAGAAAGAAAGGCTCAAATTTTGTTATTGCACAGGGCCTCCATTTGCACAGGCCCTGTACACTAGCACTGATGCATCGGAGATGAAAATGAGAGGATTTATGTGGAGGGTTTGTTAAGAAGATTTATTAAATATATTTTAATAAATATTAAATTATTATAAAAATCATGGTAAAAAATCATTGTAAAAAAACATAAAAAAAATAAAAAAATAAAATAAAAATCATTGTAATATACCCCGTATTTTTGAATAATAGGAGTATGTCTTCTGCCCATAAATGTAATTTTTACATTTTCGAGTCATACTTCAGCTCTTTTTGCGAAACTAGTATACTTCACTCACCTAGCAATCCAGATTCAGCACATCACAATTCAGTTCCATACAATTGTTTTAGTTCGATTAGCCCTCAATTCACGCCAAACATAGCCTTGTGTGTTCAAAGGGGACTAACCTCTGGTTTCCTGCTTCTGCTAGACGAGGTGCTCCGAGCTGTGAGTGGGTTGTTGAGTTATAGGGTTTCTGCGCATCGTAAAGAGGAAGAGGAGGAGAATGATTATCAGGACCCCACCGTCACGGAAGCGTAGGGTGGAGTCGGAGGTGAAGCCCGTGGATGACAATATCCCCGTTTCATTTAGTCAGCAGCTGGTCACCTTTGAGGATGAACCTTCAGCGCTGGAATCATCTCAGGACCATCATTTCACCTCCGAACAGATGCTTTGCACTTACCAATGCCGTCAAATGGTACTTTTTCCATTTGTTACTCTGAATTGATTTTCTGGCGTAGTCGCCTCATTCAGGTTTTCCACTCTTCCCCAGCGCCTTAACATTTCTTTTCCCAGTGTATTCAATAATGTTCAACGTTTTCATGCTAAACTTCTGTGTTTCTTCATACTATTTGTGTTTCACAAAAGTGTTGCGCTCAAAGCAATCATAGTTTTCATTTTCAGCTTATTTGGGGGTTTGATTAATCGAATAGGGCAAAATCAACGCAAACAAGCGGCTCTGTTGCAATTGTGAATGATACTTTTTTCTGCATATGCTTTGAAAAACTGTTTAAGAGATACTGTGGTCTATTAATTTGATACTAGTTTATTTTTAAAGGGAATTGAATTAATTTGATATTGAAAATCACTTTTCTGTGTTCCACTTTTCATTTCTTAAGCATGTGAAGTGAGACCCCCACGGCCAATACACATACATTATTAAAACACAAATTAACTGATTTTGATATGTGCCAACTCACTTCTCATGCGTTAGGTGAAGTCAGAGTTTTTGGATGCCTTGAGCAGTGCAGAGAAGCAAGCACAAGATTATCGTTCCCAATTCGAAGCTTTAAATGATGAATTGCGCAAAGCTGGTGGGTCATGAACTGAAGATCAATAGTTTCAATACTGTAGCACAAGTGCTAAATTGCTAAGTAAACATGCCATGCATTTTTTTAAAACCTTTGTTCTGGTATCTTATTATCAAAGGCATATCGAACTGCACGGGTTAATTTGATCATAGGTTACAGTGATTGACGTATCTGTTGGTACAAGAAATATACTTCTCAGAACAATCTTCTTAGCGATTCTACAATGTTGAACTGAACTCAACTTAGAGATTACCCCTACTCACAGTCTGTTCTTAGCCTGGCTAATAGTCGTCTACTCAAACCTGCCTTATCTATATGCTTAGATATGAAATATATGAGTTCCGTAAATGAATGTGCTTCTTTTCTTTCGATCTTTCTTTCAGTTTCATGTCATTCAACCCAACATCGTTGTGTTTTATGGTGGTTCTGATGATGCCATGATGATGATACATTGATAGTTATAATCTTTTAAAGGTTAAATTGCCAATCTTTAAGCCTTCATTTCCAATTTCCTATACACAGTAATCAAATCTACTGCCAGTGGCTCATTGCAGATTTAGTTGTGTTTATGTAGTTAAATACACTTCACATTGACACTGAATTAGAGCGGTGGAATTTAGATATTTAAATCCCCAATTATGTGTAGTAGTCCGGAAAACATTTTACTCTGATGTGGCAATGTGCTCTCATACATGAAATGTACAAGGAGGTCACAGAACTTCTTGAGTGATATAGAGTTTGTTGTAGAATCACTCATTTCTACTACTGCTAATTTGTTTCTATGTAGCATACTTTTTGCATAGTATAATCAAGAACAAAGTTTTTTCATACGTAGTATATCAAATTTCACATCGGGAATTCTAATATTGAGTACTGAGTTGGCATGAACTCAAACATAGCTGCTGAAAGGAAGACCTTTCGTGATCAATTCCTTTATACCGAACAAGAGCTGGCTGCTGCTAAAGGACGCGAAGAATCTCTTCAAGAGCAGCTCTTGAAGGAGATTGATTCTTCTCAGGAACGGCTTACAAAGCAACTTCAGCTATACAGTGACCTTGAGGTTGAACACTTTTCAGTTCTTTTAATTGTTTAGAATGTACTGTACTACTGTTATTAATTTATTTGCAATAAATGAAAGGAGAAATGTTTTTCTCTAAATTTCTGAATTCTGTTAAATCTATAAAGAAAGCCAGTATGGTGCCATACTGCCTTGGTGGTGCAAAACTCAGTGTTGCCCTTTTATACTACATTTCAATTATATGGTGATGAGTTCATGTTATGATCGACTTCACTAATTTATATTTATTCGTATTTATTTTTCTAGGCATAACATTTCTATAATTTTGTTTGGTGGATAGCTGAAGTTCCAACACGAAAAGAATCTTCGTGCAAAGGCAGAGTCTGCAGCTGCTTCCGCCGAAGAAAAAGCAAGCCTCAGTGAGAGAAAATTCATTAATCTTTCCGAAAACGTAGAAAATGAGAGAAAGCGCCTGCGTAATGAACTTGAAGTGCTAAAAACAGAATCCACGTTTTCAATCTCCAGATTAAGTAAAAATGTCAGGACATTTCCATTTGAACAAAAATAAATGGCGAAATTCGTAAGAATAATATCTACTTTTAGGGATTCTACAATAATAATCCCTACTGAGGGTGTCTATATAAATAATCCGAACTAGCAATAGTGTCCACAAGATAAATTGGGGTGAATTCAAATTAATGCCCATTTAATACTATTAATCCCTACTCTCACTTTTCGCTTCACCGTTCTTTTTATCGAAGTGAATTAAAACTAAAAACCGTTTAATCTTAATGTCATTTCCGCCATATGTGGTTCTTTCTAGGATAGAAGATAGAAGTGTTACCCGAAAAGAAGAGTGATGAAGGGGAAAGTAGAGGTAAGATTTGGGAGAATTAAATGGGAAATAATTTCAATTTACCTCAATTTATTCTTGTGGACACTATTGCTAGTTCAGATTATTTTTATGAATACTCTCAGTAGGGATTAATATTGTAGAATCCCTAAAAGCAGTGATTATTTTGTGAATTTCACCAAAATAAATTGAAGTACTTATATGAGTTATTATCTAATTGCTGATCTCTTTTTTGTTCAGCTTGAAAGAATGGAGTGCAGAGCTGTGAATGCCGAGCAAGAATCACTCATACTAAAGGGACAGTTGCAAGATCTTAGAGTGCGACTGAATGAGGTTACCACTTGAAGTAATTGTAGCAATCCTTTTTTCTTTAGGGTCTTTTATATCACCCACTCTATGTATGATTTATGAGTTTTTCCCATGCATTTAGTGTGTATGTATTTATTTTTCAATTATATCAAATTAGCCTCCAAAGCTGCATATGTTGTTATCTTTGGTGCTGTTCTTTTGCAATTGTTCCATTAGCTGTTCTTTTTGGTTTCATTTACACTGTATTTTTTAGAATCTTCTATTAGGGTGACTGATTTTGTTGCTTATCAGTGCATGGAGCAAAAAGGGGAACTGGAGAAGAAGCTGTCTGGTTTCACCATTCAAGAAAGTTCTTCCAATGGTAATGATATTTTGGTCAAGCATCTGCAAGATGAACTAAGGAACTATGTAAGTTTTGAACCAGGTTTATAGAGTTTTTGTACGGCCTGCTAAAAAAGATCTTGGTATAATAATGACCTCTCCAACTACTTGTTGTGCTGCTGCTTGTACTATTAATATAGAGAATTTCCTAGCAGGCAAGCACACTTATGCTTTGCGTCTTTGGTTCCAATCCCATCTTCAGGAAGCTGAAGTGCGTGAAGCTAGAAAGCTAAAATCATCTCATGAGAACATTGCTCTATTGAAGGAAAAGTTACTTGAAGAAAAAGGTCGAAGGGATAGAGCAGAGTCAGAGTTAGTTAAACTAGCAGATCTACAGGTGACTGTTAAAAAGTTGGAGGATGAACTGTCTACTTGGAAGTCAACATTGCTAGATTTACCTGGTGTCTCATGTGCTGATGATGTACCTCATAAGTTTGCCTCTCTACAAAAGTATGCATCTAACTCCATGCTATTTTCTTTTCTTATTTTTCAGTTTTTATTTATGATTGTTGAAATGTGGAAAAATTCACGTGGAAAAATCCCTGTCCGTGTCAGTCCACAACTTGTTTGATTGTTTGATTCCTAATACTAGAATAGGGGTGTAAATGCTCTTGAAATCTCTAGAAGATGGTTTATTAATATCAACCAGCTTGGCTGAATGATAACATTTTGAGCGAAGTTTCAGTACACTTCTGTTACGATTCATATCCAATTTCTTTATCCTGCATATTTTCTGTGTGGTATGCAGAGAGGTTCTTGATAGCATGGAAAAAATGGGTGAGGCTCAGGCAAGTTTGAAACAAATGGAGGTGGCTTTGGACACTGCAAAGCTTGATAAAAGCATGTTTGAAACTGAGTACAACCTGGCAAAGGAAACATCTGAATTATTAAATTCAGAGTTGAAGAGGGCTGAATTGATGGTTTGCATTAAATTTAATTGAGGAACTTGCGCATTTCATTTCTTGTTCTTTATTTCTGCTACATTGCTGCTTTTATATGTGTCTAGTGTCTAATGTGGAATTCCATTGTAGTACTTTTTGAAAACAGTGTAATAAAGGATTGAACATGTCAAATACTCTTTAAAGCTGATTTTGTGATCAAACAGAATTAAGGATCAACAACAGCAACATTACCCCAGTTCCTCAAAGGCTCCCACCTACGGTGGGGTAGGGAGGGGTCAGATGTACACACTCTTACCCTTGGACTAAAGCAAAAAGAGACTCTTTCCGGATGATCCATGATTGTCTAGTCCCTAATGACAAAGCTAATTTAAAACACTGTAATAAAGGATTTGAACATGTCAAATACTCTTCAAAGCTGATTTTGTGATCCAACAAAATTAAGGATGAAATTAAACTTAATCATCTGTAAGATATATGAATGTCTAAGTGCTCCATTAGAAGTGTTTTTCTTGGGTCTTGCTAAGTTCAGTGTTAATGTGTTTGTATGTAATTCAACAGCATTGACTGTAACTTAAGGTGTAGGACCTTGTTTTTCAAAAGTATCTGTTGAATTTTAAGTAATTGATCTCTTCAACCACTTGAGTTACTGCACACCTTTTCATGCCAGTCTGATGATTATGTGGGTTATAGATTATTCAATTTCTTGGAAAATGTGGATGATCATTTGTTTGTTTGTTTACTCTATTATTTTTCTCCAGCTTGCTTCCGCTTTAGAGGAAAGAGATCGCTTAAAGCGTATGGTTGATGAGCTGAGGACACAAAGGAGCATGGGTGCTGGCATTGAGAGCTCCACTGGAACTCTTGTTCAGGTCTAAATAACTGGAATCTTTTTCTTCTGACGTATTCCCCATTTAGTTTTCCCTCAAGTGAAGTTGCTGTTTTAAAATACAGGAGCTTGAAGCAACTCTGGCTAAGAAGGACAGTTGTATAATGGAACTTGAGAGCAGTTTATCTGAACAAAGGGGGGTTAATATTCGTCAGCTTAATGAACTAAAGTTGTTGAATGACAAACTGGGCAATGAAGCAAGGAGAATAAAATCATTAGAGAGAGAAGGTGACCTGTTACGATCTGAGATTGCTCTATTGGAATCCAAGGTTTGTTTTTAGTGAATTACTATGTGTGCATTTCCAAAGTAATAATCCTCCCTATCTAAATGCATTCCTTTTTCGACTGTCGCAAAGTTATTTTCTATTTCTTTCAGGAAAAGAATATGAGGTTCACAGTTTCCGCCTCTCTTAGTAAATATCAACCACACAATTTCACTTCCATAAACTCTTTACCAAGTCAAAGGCAATACTTTAAGAATGCATGGAGTAATAAGTAATTAAATAAAATCTGAACTTCATTCAAATTACAATCTCAAAATGCTGTATGACATACTAAGGACTCTTTTCAAATATGTGGCAATTTTCAAAGTTGGATATTTATAATTTGCGGTGCAGAAAATTTCGAAACGACATGCATTTTACTACTGCAAGCCAAACCATGGAGTATTTACTATTTAGCTTCCCTATGATTCTGTCTATATATATATATAATTTTTTATAGCTAGGGCATGGTGATTATTCATCATCAAATACAAAGGTTCTGCAAGTGGTCAACACCGTTGGGGTAGATAATGACACAAAGAAACTATAGAGGCTCTGCAGAACGAGCTACAGAAGACCAAGGAGAAGTTACAGGCTATTGAAGAGTTCAAGCTGTTGTGTCAATTTCATTTAAAAAATCAACAATTTCACATAATTTTATACACTTGTAATGTCCCAAATTAGTTAATCCTCTTTAAATCATGTTGACAATCAATGTTAGTTACTTCAGCTTGTGATAGATGATCAGCTGCGTGCAGATGGAATTCCAGTGACAGAATTTACACTTCAATCTATGATCTAATGATCTATCTATGCTCTTAGTAAGCTGTAAGCTGGACTGCTGGACTTCATGAATGCTTCATCTTTTGTTCTTCTCATCTTCGTTTTACCCTTCAAGTTTAACTCAGTGAAATTGTCAGGTCGGCTGGTCGGGACTTATTCTAAAAAAAAAAGAATCGTATCAACCACACATATTTCCATAAAGAAATGATAACTTTTTGGGAGTTGAGGAAAGTGGATGGGAACACTTCGAAGGGGAATGGACAAGGGGGGTTCAGATCTTGTTTGTATCTAACAAATTCAGAGGAAAGCATTGGATATTTGGATGGTTTACATATAAATTACGAAAGGTCAATTTGGTCCTGGAAGTTGCAAAAAAGGTGTCAAATAAGTCCTTATATGGAAGATTCTGTCCGGACGTGCCATTTGAGGTGATTCCTAGTGGATTTTTTTGATAATTTTTTTTGAGCATCTTATTCATTAAGTCTAGTTTACTCATACCAAATTTCAGCAAAAAATTCAATCGGGAGGACATTCAAATGAATTCTTGAAGATAATTGTGCTTTTAACGGCACAATTATCTTCAAGAATTCATTTGAATGTTTTCCCGATTGAATTTTTATCTGAAATTTGATATGAGTAAACTAGACTTAATGAATAAGATGGGTCAAAAAATTTCATCAAAAAATTCCACCGGGAGCCATCTCAAATGGCACTTCCAGACAGAATCTTCTATATAAGGACTTATTTGACTCCTTTTTTGCAACTTTGAGGACCAAACTGACCCTTATCCCAATTACGATTTCTCCATCTAATCATTATGTGGAATTGGAATGCAAGCCTCATGGCCCTCATCCCTTTTGTATAATTTTATGGAAATTTATTTTAGAATTTAGGTTTTTATTGTTTCTTTTCTGAAATTTTATTTTTGCTACTGTCTTCAATTTGACTTTTTTTTTTAATTTCATTTTATACTTTTTATATTTTATTTTTACTTTGATTTTTATTTTCAGTTTTGTATATTTTCATTTTTTAATTCTTAACTACTTTTCTTTCAAAAATAATACTCCCTCCGTCCCATTTATATTGTCCCGTTTTACCTTTTCGGGAAGTCCCACTTAAATTGTCCCATACATATTTGGCAAAGTTTGTGTAGCTCTAAATCATTCTTACTTTATCAATTAATATCAACCACACAAACTCACTTTTCTTAATAACCGTGCCACTTTCTTCAGTCCTAATATAAATGGGACGGAGGTAGTAGTACGCAATTCTTAATTACGGAATATGGAGTACCTTTTAGTTTTAAATTTTGCTGTTTTTTTTTTACTTCCAAGTATATGTATTCCATTTCTTAGGCATATTTATTAATTTCCTTATTTTTTAAATTATAACATTTCATTTTATTCTTTAATGCTTAGTAACTTTTTGAATGTTTATTGTTTTGACTTCAACATTTTTATTTTATTTGATTTTTCCTGTTTTTAACTACCACTTTTTATTTTCACTTTTTGAAAGTTATTCTTTATCAATTTCTATTTTCGTATAACACTGCCGTTCACATGCTGAGTCAGCCATTTTGAGCCGATAAAAATTATTCCTACTGTCTTCGTATAACCTGGAATATTCCTTTGGTGCGAAGAGTGACGTAGCAGTGTCTCCTTGTGAGACAAATCATTGCGGATTATATCTAAGTACATGGCGTTTTGTCCTGACTTTGAGAACTACTGAGGTCGGTATCTGAGAGCTCAGATGTGAACGGCAGTGTTATACGAAGACAGTAATGTAAACAGTGTCAAAATTATTTTTTGACAAGTCAGCATTACAGGAAAGTATACAGGCTGCGTTGGGAAGAAGTTTTATACGCCAATGTTTAAAGTGGATAACGTGGCCATGATTTTTAATGTTAACAGCTTCCGACTGGAGATGCTCTAACAATGATTTGACAATAGTTGATTCCATTTAGTTGTTTTGATTGACCGTTTAAGTTACCACTTACCAGTAGTAACTGTTTAGTGAATTTAACTGTTTAAGAATAACTTTTAGAGTACAAAACAACGTAGCATAGTATCTACGTAGTATTTATTATTGTAGGTGCTGAACAACAATTTTACATACATTTGTTTAATGTGATTATGCAGTGTTTTATACAATACTCAAGTGTGTTATGTTACTCTCTAGCTTTTATTGTACTCCCTATGTGATTATCCACATGGCATTAAATTTGGATATGCCCATTCTCTAACTTTTGTTGCAACAAGTATGAATGCAGTGCTCTACTACTCTGGCACAGTGTGGCAGAACATAAATATCAGGTTTATGATTTGCTTCTTGTAGGATTCTTGGTATGCAAAGTATGACTATGGAGCCGGTTTGATAAATATTCGTATCATACCATGTTTATACTAGCTTCGTGCGTTGTACAGGGGTGCTGAACTAACAAATTATCTAAAAAGTTGTCTAATAGTTCCAAGACTTATGCAAGTGCACACAAAAATTATTTCCATGGTTAACTTTATTTTAAAATGACATTCTTGAGCTTGAGCATGCACCAATTATTTTAACATCCCAACATGCTCAACATACACATCCAAAGTGGTAGAAGTCAACATATTGAAATTGTCTCTTGAGAAAGCAAATACTTAAGCAATGAATGAGAGGTGAGGCATACCTTCTCCCGTGAACATGTGGTTGATTAAAACTTAAATTAATTTAAACCAATTTAACTTGTAGTTTTCTATTCAAAGGACTAAATTACTCATAGCATATTTGCAAGCTCATAGCTATTACAATCGATTATTCGTGCATATGTTTCAATCCCAACAATAGCATCTGATACAGTAATGGATGAGACTATAAATGCTATAACATGCTTATAGTTGCCACCTACTCATCTAATGAATGAAACTTCTCTTTTGCATTGATAGAAGCTAATTGGCAAAAAATCTGAAGAGATAGAAGCAAAAATGACCTCTGTCCTCTTCTTTTTTTTTTTTTTTTTTTTTTGAAGAAAACATGAACTACAAAAGGAACCAACTAGAAAACCTCTTGAGTATACAAATTACCCTGGAAAAATTAGGAGGAGGTGTTATAGATGAGAACTAAAGAAAAAAATTACTTTTAATTTTCCATTTCAAATAACATGGCCTGAAAAACACTACATTAACTTTTAGAAAACTCATTATCTAACATAGTGACCTGCAATAACTTAAATCTTACTATTATACTAACTATTCAGAAATATAGTCATCTACATCTAACGAAAAAGAACTTTTAAATCTGAAAGAAAAACACTGGATTTGCAGTATGCACTATACTAACAAAACTGCATTTTACACTATTAATAGTTTTAGATTCGCAATTTATAGTCCAAAAAGAAAGAAAAAATTGCATTTTTACATCATATCTAGAGAAGGAAAAATGACACTTGACATGTAGGCAAACAAACGGGTGTCAAAATACACAAAACATTGTTTTTTCTTCACATTGATGATTTTGTTTTCTTAATGCAATTTTGCTCACACAACCAAAAAGTTATAGGGAAATTGGCCTCCTGATTCGTAGACTTCTAAAATAATGCGGTAAAATTTCATGCATGAATCTGCTGAAGTAATAGCCATGTATTTCACTCCTCAAATTGCACTTTTAGATCTTACTTTATCATAATTAAAGGACTAATTAAAAAAAATTCTTTTCACTTCCTGCTGGATTGTTTAAATTGACTCGACCCCGGTTGTTAAAAAAATCTGTACCAGTCTGATTTTATTGAGCCTTGTTCCAGGCTGAAGTTCTAATGACCCGATCTTTTATGTGTTATGCAAAACACCCAATTAGTGACATCAAATGATTATTTGTATCAAAGTGTAGTTGGTTACGTGTTGAAAGTACTTAAAGTTAGTTATAATGTATAGAACGGTTGGGTTTAAATGGAAGTTAGAGGAGAATGTGTGCAATTAGTTAGATTAGACTATGTTGTTGAGGTTTTAGGATTGCTTTCATGATGGGTTTAAAGATTTCTGTTTTCAATGTGCACTTCTGCTTCAGATTTAAAGGTTTTTCTTTTTTCTTATTCTTATCATTTTGTATTGAAGAACGAAAAACATTTCATACACCATTAATAAACTATCTCATCAATAATCACCAGAGTTGCAAAATATATTTTTGATGAAGTGAATTTATATTATGATAATTCATGTTAGGATATAGACATTATGGTAATATCACATTATCGATTGCAGTCATAAACTACTACATCACTTTGCAGCTACAGTGCTACAATTATGATTTGAAGTCTTTTCCCAAGGATAGAAGATCTAAGGTGCTACAATTATGATTTGAAGTCTTTTCCCAAGGATAGAAGATCTAAGGCAAACAAACTCTTGATATGACTAATATCTTGTTCCAAAATCATAGCCATAATATACCCAATTTCTTAGCCTAAAATAGCATTGTCTTATTTGTTTTAAGAATTCAATCAGATTGTCAAAAAAGGGGAGGTCAAATCTGCCATTTGTCAGAGTGGGGAAATAGAAAATGCATTGTGTATTATACTAACTATTCAAAAAGAAAGCCCCCCCCCCTAAATCTGATAAAAAACTTCAAATCTGAAAAAACCATTGGATCTCCAATATGCATTACTCCCTCCGTCCCCTTTGAAATGTCCCGTTTTACCATATTGGGATATCTCTATTTAATTGTCCCATACCTTATTTGGTAAAATTTGTGTGGCTCAAAATCATTCTTACTTTATTAATTATTATCAATCATACAAACCCACTTTTCTTAAAACTCGTGCCACCTTCTTCCAGGACATTTAAAAAGGGACGGAAGGAGTATATAGAAAAAACTGCACTTTTTTACTACTTATAGTCCTATTGTTTGCAAGTTGTAGCCCTAAATGAAAGAAATTGCATTTTTTACATCATATCTAGAAAAGGAAACAATGACAGTTGACACGTAGGAATAAAAGGCAAACAAACAGGTGTCGTAATACACAGTAAATTATTTTCTGAACAAACATTGGTAAATTTGTTTTCTTGTTTAGATCATTTGAGTTTAAATGAAAGTTAGAGCAGAATGTGGGCAATTAGTTAGACTA